CTAGTAGATAATTTTTCAAATTTTGTGCAAAAGTTTATTTACTTGTTGGAGACCAGGACTCGAACTTTGTACCTGACACTTTCACTCAAGGCATGGCTGCAGAGCCATGCTTTCAACCTCAGAAGTTTCACTTTTCTTTGTGCTGGCTTAGACTCTGTGCCATGCGCTGTCCCTTAGCCTCATTGTGCTCAAGGCTAGCACTCTACCATCTACCAGTGCCACTTCCAGTTTTTGAGGGGCTAATTGGAGATAAGAGTCTCATGGGACTTTTCTGCATAGGCTGGCTTCAAACCACTCAGCCTCAGCTTCCTGAGTAGCTAGGATTAACAGGCATGAGCCACCAGCACCTTCATCTTTTAAAAGCTTGCTTTTGACCAGGGGTTAGTCAAAAGGCTCTGAGTTCAATCCCTCAGGCCCAGCACACACACAAAAAAATGTTCTCAATTGTTGTAAAAATTGAGAAGTGACATTTAATTGCTTTATATTGTTATAAGTTTTCTACATAGGTGACAGAATAGAAGGCTATCGAGAAGAACCTGCACCTGAGCAAGCACTTGTATCAACAGATTTGGTCAGAGACCCTGAACATCAAGGAATTATGGTTGATGTGAAGAAGGAACTTTATTTCGTGAATGTGAGTAATCTTCTAGGAGAAGTAGTTTTCCTATTGGCTGCTTATAGGCTCTATAGTTATTCTCTCTCTATCTCTCTCTCTCTCTTTCTCTCTCCCAATCTCTTCTCTTCCCCCACCCTCCTACTGTCTCTTTTTTTTTTTTTTTTTCAGTCATAGGGCTTGAACTCTGGGTCTGGGCGCTGTCCCTCAGCTCTTCAGCTCAAGGCTAGCGCTCTACCACTTGAGCCCCAGTGCCACTTCCCTGTTTTCTGGTGGTTTATTGAAGATGAGAGTCTCACCAGCTTTCCTGCCCTGGCTGGCTTTGAACTACAATCCTCAGATCTCAGCCTCCTGAGTAGCTAGGATTATAGGTGTGTGCCATTGGCGCCTGGCTGTCTCTCTCTGCTTTTTGTTGTTGTTGGTGGTGGAGTTGGTTGTGGAGCCTGAACTCTGGGCCTGGGCGCTGTCCCTCAGCTCTTCAGCTCAAGGCTAGCGCTCTACCACTTGAGCCACAGCACCACTTCCAGCTTTTTCTGCTTAGGTGATGTTAAGGAATGCAAGGGAAGCACTCTACCACTGAGCCACCTTCCCAGCCCTGTCTCTCTGCTTTTATGCTCAAGATTAGTGCTCTACCACATTGAGCCACAGTGCCATTTCCTTTTTAGTAGTTAATTGAAGATAAGAGCCTCATGGACTTTGTTGCCCAGGCTGACTTCTATCTGCAGTCCTCAGGTAGCTAGAATTACAGGCATGAGCCATGAGCACCTGGTTTGGACCCTCTGTTAGTAAGTTTGCTTTTAGTTCATTCATTTATTTCAAGTTGACATGAGCTCTGCATTTGCGTATAACAGGTAACACGCATGTCCTTTGAATGAGGGTTTTACACTGTGTCCTCTCTCCAGTGACAGAATTCTCCCTTGCTATTCTAAGGTCATAAACTTAAATACATTTACAGTACTGAAATTCACTGTTTAATAAAATTCTTTTCCACAAAAATGGCTCTCTCGTTTTCTTGGATTAAGCTTATTTTTAAATAAAAAAATTATTTTTTTTAAAAAATGGATTAGCCAAGCACAAGAGGCTCACACCTATAATCCTAGCTACTCAGAAGTCCAAGATCTGAGGATCATGGTTCAAAGCCAGCCCTGGCAGGAAACTGTGAGACTCTTATCTCAAATAAACTATTCAAAAAAGCCAAGTGGAACTGTAGCTCAAGTAGTAGTGCTCACCTTGAGCAAAAGAAGCTCAGGGACAGGGCTGGGAAGGTGGCTCAGTGGTAGAGTGATTGCCTTACATGCATGAGGCCCTGGGTGCTCAGGGACAGCACCCAGGCCCAGAGTTCAAGGCCTAGGACCAGCAAAAATAAATAAGTAAAGCCACTTATTACATGAGAGCCTCCAGGTCTTACTACAAGCAGAACCATGCACAGTACTTTTCTAAAAAAATGTTTTTTCACTAGTCCTGATGCTTGAACTTAGGGCCTGGGCTCTGTCCCTGAGCTTCTTTTGCTCAAGGCTAGCACTCTACCACTTGAGCCACAGTGCCACTTCTGGCTCTTTCTGCATATGTAGTACTGAGGAATCGAACCCAGGGCTTCATGCATGCAAAGCAAGCACTCTACCACTAAGCCACACTCTCACCAAGCCTCTTTTTTTTTCTTTAAAAAAAAAAGGGGGGGGG